GTCTCAGCCTGCTGCGAAGCCTGCCCTGGGTGGCTTTCTGTGTTGAGGCAAGAAAGTGGGCAACGAGGTGAAGAACTGTACCTCCCTCCTCCTACTGGCTTGGTCTCCTAATGCAAAGAAACCAAAAGAACAAGCCTAATGTTTGCTTTCTCTACTACTGAAGTGCAAAAATGAAAAAGGACATAAATAAATAAAGGAAGGCAAGGTTTTGGTGCCCCTATAATAAATGCATGCTGTATAATTCTTCAGTGTCCACAGTGACGTGACTTTCTTTCTTTCTTTCTTTTTTCTTTCTTTCAAGAAATATAAGTGGTGTTACTTTATGTGACCATCATCCCTCTTCCCATCCGATATAAACTTTCCATTATGTCTGTATTGTTTATTTTTCTGGAGATTCCAGGGCTTTCCAAAGGCACAGCCTCACATAGAACCTTCAGAGGCCAAGGAATCCTGCTCCTACTTCTATACTAAGTCCCCAGCCAGGCGTCCTAGGCAGTCAGGCTACTGCTTTGAGAACTTGAAAGGGAGCGAAGGCCTGGAGAGCCACGGGCCAATTCAAGACAATGTTTACCTCTTGGCAACCAGGTCCTAGACACCGAATACCACAGAGAGGATTCTTTCTCTAAGGCAAAAGACTACACCATCAAAATACCCTGATTTTATAGATTCTGGGGACATTTGGCCATACATATTTCTCCCTGATAAAAAGCTTTTTTTTTTCTTTTGAACCTGGCTACCTACAGAAGTGATGGCCAGCAAAACTCTATCTTGGGCCAGAAAGGATAATCTGCTCAACTAAACTCTTTGAGTATCTTAAAATGCTCACATCAAAAAGCCTCCACAAGGTGTTGAGGCATTCGAAATGAAATGCACCCAGGGCAGAACACTGCCTTCCACAAGGGCTCCATCCCAGAAGCCAGAGGCCCATCCAGGCTCTGTCTTCAGGGCCTTACAGGTCTCACTTGTCGAAGGAGAGAAGAGCAATGGCAGGGAAGTAAGGGGGAAATGAAGGTGGCTGTGCATTCAAAAGGGGGAGAGTGTGCCTGAAATGACACCAAGAACTGCATGCAAGGGAAGAGAAGAAGAGGGGGATTCACAGGTGAGTTCTAAAGGATTTGCCACCTAAACACAATACTTTCTAAGAGACAGCACCCTTTCCCTGAAAATTCTGTTCACCACAGGTTGGTGTAAAACAGCAACCAGAAAAGCCAACTAGCACTGAGGCTAAGCTCATGGCTCGAAGTTCCGTGGCAGCAGAAACAGCAACTATCACAGAAAAACTGATGATCAATACTTACATGAAAGAATAAATGTACCTTTTCCTGGGCAAATATAGTTATTGGTCTGCCAACACCAGCATGGAGCCCTCCTTGGTGCTTGTAGCGGCATCTCATTAGTGTTAAAAGCTCCATGATTCATGGGCAATTGCCAGCTATTATTTCCATATCACCGATCCACCTCAGTGGCCACAGACCCTCTCAGCTTGACTTCCAGCCAACCCCATTAGCTAATGGCTCATCTGATGGCTGCAGCCCCACTCCTCATTCTGTGATTCCAGCCCTGTGATGTGGACTTCTCCAATCCCTACTCGTACCAGCAGGCAATCCATCTTTTTTCTTTCAGCCTGATTTTGCCTTTGTTCTCTCCTTGGAGAAACAGGGAGGTTAGCAGAAATCTTCCCATGTGCTCATCTCAAGATTGCACCCTCAAGAATGAGAACCTTACCAAATTCGTGTAAGGCTTTATTCCATTCACTGAACTTTAACATGATACCAATGGGCGTATTTTCTCTTTGGGATGATTCATGAACTTCTACAGAGCAAAGACTGTTAAGGCTCCATCCAGCTCCAAAGTGACAGAATTCATTTGGTCTCGTCACACAAGGTATTTTTTGGTTCAGAACAGGACAACTGTGATATCATCCTAAGTGGTCTTCTTGGTTTTAACCTTATATTACCACATTTCATCACTATATTTCTACCAGATTAATTTTTGTAATTGATAGCTCTGAATACATCATTCCACTGGCCAAATTTTTCAAAAGGTGCCTAATTAGAAAAAAACATGATTTTGCTTAACAACCAAAAAGTCAAGAGAGTCAAAAGTAATCAAGATTCTATTCTATAAGTATGCAATTAGCTTTGCAAAATTTTGGTTTCGGTCAAAGAGACAAATTCACATCCTGTAAACATGATTTTTCTGACTTTGTGTTATTACTTATGGCATTCCTCTTGTGTAAATGTGTTGCCCCCAAAGAAATATGACATATTCATTGAAGTCCAGGTGAAATAATTTCATAAGATCATCATCTCCTGAACTTTGGGCTTCCAATTTCATGTAATTGATGCAGCTGTATTGATTGGGCATCTATTATATGTGAACAAGGACACTGCATTTTTGGCCTCTTAGACTGTTGGTGAACTCATATGTATTTAATCTTCTCTCCCCAGATGGATTAAATGCTTCCCAGCTATAGTGATATTACATGAACAGTACCCCATGCAGAACACCTAAAATGGATGTGGAGTTTATTTTTTTTCAGTGTTTTAGGAAGTGCACTGCAATTATAATGACCTGAATGAACCCATTTTACAGCAAAGAAAGCCAACACTAAGTACTGCTCACTGTAAGTGGCTGAGTTGGGGCCACAGCCCAGAGGTCCCACCTCTTCCAGGGCCACCCACTCCGCCATAGTGATCAGAGGAGGTACCATTTAAAGTGCCGGGACACGAAGGGTTACATTTTGGGGCACCTCCTCCAGTACAACTGCAAAGATGCACAGTGTGCACTTAGCCAGGTAAATCTGGCCTTCACTGTGCCTCTAGCATCACGGGGAAAATTAACCAACTGTCCAATAAAATACAATAACCCAGCAGATTAATGACTAATATTCTGTGTCTTGAGCTTCTCAGCTTCGCCTGTAGCAACTGCCCCATCCTGGACCAGATGCACTGTGGCTTGACTCCAGGAACGGAATTACATATTCTGCTGAAAGGGTAGCCGGGCTGCTCAGAGAAAAAAAAACCTAATTGTAAATCTTTTCTATTTCTGGACTTAATGTGCATTTTATTTAGCAGTAAGGGCAGCATGAATAAAACTCCAATCCTAAGTATTTTAATTTGCTTCCTTCAACTGCTTGTGGCAGTAGAGACCTTGGAAAGTTGCTTTCATGCTTGTACTCCCTTCAGGGAGGACCCTGTGCATCTCCACCATCTCTAGATAAAACACTAGAACATCCCCCTCACTTGGGTAAGTCCAGTGTGTCTTCAGATATATATAATTTCTAACACATGAGTCCACTAAGGACAATTGTAAGAATGACTTCACTGAATCATGCATTTCACAAACAGCATTCCAATATCTCATTGTTTTCCTTTTGGCTTCCATGGCTAGAGTCTATCTCACATTTGCATGTATGTGCATGTGTGTGTGTGTGTGTGTGTGTAGTTACTTTAATTTTAGTTAAATTATATTTTTTATTGGTAGTCTTATATTCTATCTGGGAATGTAAGTTCCTTAAAAGCATGAGTTTTATGTAATTTATAGTGTATCTGTAGCATAGAGTACATGATATAATTTATAGTATGTATCCCATAGCATATATATACACATATCACACACACAAACACACAAGCAGAGACACTGAATATCAAAAGCTCATTCAATGTTTTCTTTAATAAATAGAACTCCTGCCTTGGCTGGTGTGGCTCAGTGAATTGAGTGCTGCCTGTGAACCAAACAGTCATCAGTTTGATTCCTAATCAAGGTACATGCCTGGGTTGTGGGTTGGGTCCCCAGTTGGGGGCATATGAGAGGCCACCAATCAATATATCTCTTGCACATTGATATTTTTCTTCCTCTCCTTCTCCTTCTCTTCTCCTCTCTCTAAAAATAAATAAATAAAATCTTTAAAAAAAAAGTAGGGCTCTCTTTCAATCCAACCAGGGAGAGAAGAAAAGTCCTGAGGTAACCTGGTTCTGACTAATGTTATTTGTGTACATTATCATTGTGCCTCTGGTCATTGCTCTCACTGTTTTAGAAAACTCCTAGTTAGTGTTTTTTTACTTTTGAGGGGTAAGCCTTCCTTTTAAGAATCTTAGAAAAGCTACTCTGTCTGGTTCTTTATCTAGAAAAATGACCACCTCTCCATCTACAAAAAACACTGTCTCAAATCTCATAGGGATGGGGGCTCCTAATGCCCTAAAACATCTATGTTAAAAACCATTTCCCGTGTGGGATTATACCCTAAGAACCCTGAAACACCAGTCCAAAAGAACCTAGGCACTCCAATGTTCATAGCAGCACAACTTATAATAGCCAAGTGTTGGAAGCAACCTAGTGCCCATTAGTAAATGAGTGGATCCAAAAACCGTGGTACATTTACACATTAGAATACTATGCAGCAGAAAGAAAGAAGGAGCTCCTACCCTTTGTGACAGCATGGATGGATCTGGAGAGCATTATGCCAAGTGAAATAAGCCAGGCAGTGAGGGACAAATACCATGTGATCTAACCTGTAAGTGGAACCTAACCAACAAAACAAATAAGCAAGCAAAATATAACCATTGAAATCATTGAAATAAAGAAAAAAACTCACAGTAACCAGAGGAGAGGTAGGAGGGAATAATGGGGAGTAAAGGAAGAAGGGTTTTCAGGGACATCTATCTATAAAGGACACATGGACAAAACCAAAGGGCAGTGGGATAAAGGGTGGGAGGTGGGGATGGCTGGGTGGGGGGAGTTGTGGGGGGCAACAAACCCTTTCTTCTCCACAGGGAATTCCTCAGTCTCTAGCTTTTCCTCTGGGTGCTGTGTCAGGTGTTAACATGGCTCAAGACAGCAACATGAGGTCCTCCTTGCTGCCTCTCACCCCCCGGCACCCAGTTCAGGCTACAGCACAGGGCAAAGCTGATCATGAAGAAGAAACACCGAGAGGACTGGCGGCAGATTCCCCCGGGAGAATGGGGCACCATTGTCTCAAACAAGGTACTGGTGCTCACCTTTTGGTCTTGGCTGTATGCCAGAATCCAGTCCTCCTGCTTGGGGTGGAAAAGCAAGCTCTGGATGTAGAAATTCAGCCGGTACTTCTGATAGGTCGCTCCTTCATCTGAGCTGATCAACAAACTGCTCTCGATCTCAGGGTCCGTGAGTAACATAATCTGCAGCAAGAAAATGTTGGGGAAAGACAACAATGGAAGTTACATTTACATATTTCCAAATCTTAAAAATGAGCTACAACTTTGACACGGGAGGAAAAAAGGGCATTCAAGGGACACCTGGCCAAGCAGGGAACCTTGAGTCTGTCAGGGTTGTCCTCCTACCTTGACCCAAGGCCATAAAAGGACTTTCACTAAGGAATGAAGGTGGCAGGACAAGGTGGAAGGAAGGGAAAAGAAACAGGAGACTGAACTTTCTTTTCTTCTAGAGTACTCCTGGTTTTTCTTCTTTTTCTCTAAGTTTATGTACTTAATCTGAAATATTTTCCACTGTTTCCCTGGCCTCAACCTCCCTTCCTGCTGTGCCTTGTTGACTTTACATTTGCCGGGGGAGGGGGGTTAAAGAGCAAGACTTGTCACAGTCTGTTGTGGGTAAGGTGGGAAGAAATGGAAACAGGCTGGATTTCTCTGGTTTTTCTCACTGACCATAGCCCTCTCGCTGATGTCAACAATATCCCATGCCATTCTACCTTGAGCTTGATTTTCTGAGTCTAGTGTCAAAGGCTGGGCTTCCTTAAGCCTTCTTTGCAAACTGTACAAAGGCCATTTTATCCCCTTCTAATGCATTGTATAATTTACTTACTTATTTTGTCTACATACCCTCTACTAGAACATAAATGCCATGAGAATAGAGATAGTTGATATTTCTTTACTTTTCTCCCCCACAGGTATATTCCCAGGAGCCAGAGTAAGGCCTGGCATCAAATATATACTCAGTAAATACCTGTCAAATGGATGAATGAATGGAAAGAGTTTTCAGAGCGGTCATGCGGACCTAGAAAGATGCCCAGAACAGGGACAGCAAGCATGAATGGCAGTTCCGTGGAAAGAGCTACGGGGCTCCTCCCCCTTCTTTTGCCCGTCCGCCAGAGAACACGCTCTACGTGTGTAACATTCCACAGGTGCAGCTGCTGCGCGCCCTCACTAGGCTGGTTCACCTTGGTCAGGGCAATAATGAACAGTCCACACTAGGAACACGGTGGAGAAGCTGCCCCGAACACTGATTTTCATTCTCTTTTTGTGCCTCTAGGAATGTGTGATAAAGCACCTCGTGCCCGACTCTCTGCAGGTCTCCTTCCACATAGTCAACATGCATACCTAGTGCCTCCAGACAGTGGCTTCAGTGCTACCCACTGACTTCTCCCCCATCAGCTTATTAATGGGCACTTTCTGAGTTGGGTTCGGAGAAGCATGAAAGACGTGCTTAATGTGTGGCTTTATGGTGAGAAATCACTGCAGCCTGGGGTTTTTAAAGATTACCAGCCGAGGATGCAGCAGTTCTGGGGAAAGCAGGGTGAGAGAGAGAAAGGAAAAATAAAACAGAGCCACGTCACGGAAGACTCAAGTGCCAGGCAGACCCACAGGGATTTCGCAAGCATTTGGAGGCAATCATATTTAAAACTTGGGACAGTTAGTGTCATCTTCAAACGCAGTACCCTGTCACTGCAAACGGCACAGGAGGATGGCACGCCAGACCCACTCAGCCTGCATAATGTTCATGTTATCCAGGGTGAATTTAAGGGTCCTTGCTGTCCTTTCAACTCTCTGCGAAGAGGGGAGAAGGGATGTGGTACAGGGAGGGGAGTGCTCTGGCTGCGGGCTGCACTCGGGGCAAGATGGAAAGCACACATGAAACGGGGAGACTAACCGCCTCTCACTCCGTGTTCCGGTGAAGCCACTGTGCCCCGCCATACATTCTGACACAGCCATGGTGTTCCTGCCTGGCATTCACCAAGTGGATGGTCCCCTCACTGGATGGCTGACATGGAGCCAGTAATCTGCTAAATACAGACTCAGGGCTTCATTACAATCTCTTGAATGCGTTAGACAAGGACGTTCAGATGGCTCCTGAATTCACAAGAATATTTCCAGGTGATTTCATAGGTATTGGCACCTAAAAGCTCTCATTTTCCAAATAACAAATAAGTCATCAAATGATCTTATTGCTTTGTGTCTCCAGCCACAATTAAAAATACTATGTAACAACCTTTTTGCACTGCTGCCAAAAGTAATTTCCATAATAATATGAAGAGGTCCAATTTTAGAGCATCTATGGTCTCAGGCAAGGTGATGTCCCGCCTCTGATATTTTATCTCCCTGATAACGAGAACAAGCTTTCCTCTCTGCCCTGGGGTGCAGGCCTCACCACCTGCCTCTCCTGGTGGACCATCTCGGGAACCCACACACACTGTGCCGACAGAATGTCCTCAAGTCATGCAGATTTTTATTTGTCATTTATTTAAAATACTTTTGCTACTCGTTTGTGCTCCAAGTCATGATACTGTGTAAGATAATTCTGCATCCAGGTGATGTTGAATAAGGGTGGGGGTAGAACAATGCAAGTATTTTTCAAACACATGGCTACTTAAGACTGAAAAAATGAAACTCCTGGCTTCTGTGGCTCTTTTTTTCTAGGTAGTAAAATTATGTAGACTAAAATCTCACCTCCTCTATACAGTCCTCACCTAAAACCCCCTCTATTTGGGAGTTTGGCATTTTAGAAATGATAGAAGATGCTAGGAAATCCCCCCTGTAAGATTTATAAGTCTGTCTTTATTACACAAACCTTCCAGTGGTTCTTCTTTCAAACCTCGGTTCAAATTCGCTCAAAACAAACAGGTCAATCTGGATCCATTTTTGTTTAGCCATATTTTACTGCACAAACAATTTTGTGAGATCAGCAGTAGAATTGAAAAAAAAAAGAAAATTAAACTGCTCATGACCCTATCCCTTCAACACATTAAACAATGTTTATGCTTCCTTCTACTTTATCCATACCTACATACGTCATCACAGATTGAGCTTTTTACTCTGATTTTTTAATTTGATAATTTTGCTTATATTCAATTCCAGCTGAATGATAAACACACAAATGCACATACAGATTAACACACACCACTGCATACAATGTATCATTTAATCACAACCTTCAACATAATTATGTTACAACTGGTGCAGTGGTTGAACCATAGAAAGTATTTAATAAATTATTGTTAACTGAATAAGTCTTCAAATTAAAATTCTGTAGTCCTTTTATTTCAAGTGGATTGAGGTTTATTCTGTTCTTATGTGGGTTACTAAAAATAAATAAGTTAATATGTAAATAAAGTATTTAAGCAAAATATAAATAGAAAATGTTTAGTCTATTTGAAAGACACAATGTAAATAATACATGTAATCCAATCTATAGAAATAAATGATGTCATTTGTAAATAAATATGTTTCATCTTCTCAAGAAGGCAATCTACTGGGAAATACCAAACTGGCAACCCCAAGTCCGGGAACACTCCTGAAAATAAACAGAGTTCACTCCATAAATGTGTCCAATGATCACTGTCTTTGCTGGTGTACCCTGGCTCTCTCCTGCCTTCTGGCTCTTCATGTGACTTTGAATAAATGGTGCTTTATTGTGTTTAATCCTCTGCATTCTGGAATATGATCGGCACGACAGAATTTTAGGAGGATTTTGTAAAAGGCATGACTCCAAACTCGGCAGAAATCCTGAAGTGAGCTCTCTAAAAGAGGGGTCATTTTCTCCTTCCTTCCTTCCTTCCTTCCTTCCTTCCTTCCCTCCTTCCTTCCTTCCTCTTGCCTAGCATAGAGCTTGGTCTATAGCAGAGGTCCATACACTTTGTAAATGGACACACAAATGAATGAGTGAATAGGTGAACCCTCTTCATCCCTGTGATACTGGGAGTCTGAGTTCTCTTAAATACATCCCTGCTATTCCAGTTGGAGACAAGGAGGGTAGAAACAAGGGGAAGGGTCTGTCTTCAACAGAAAAGTAATTATTCTCTGTTCAGGTCAGCCCATGAGTGATCAGAACCAGTTCACCTATGCCTTGCAGGATGTGCAGACAGACACTGCTTCAATGGCACCTGCAGATGAACTGTTTTCTATAGAAAGTCCATAATGGCGGCACAGGCTCCCTGCCACCCAGCTCTAAGCAACCATTCATCACCCACTTTGAGAGAAGGAGGAAACTTTATTTGCTTTTCCTAAAGGTACAAATGAACATGTAACGCAATTTATAGATTTCAAAGATGTTACTTCTCACTTTGTTATTAGTCCTTCTGACAGCTTAGTGTCCTCAAAAATTAAATGCATCTTCACTCTCTTTGACTTGATTCAGATTCAGCATATGGCTACATGATGTAATTCTACAAAAGGTTGTCTGGGAGACTTCTGATCCCTTTAAGCTGGCCACTAGGGACATTCTTCCTAGAGAAAAGTCACTAACATTTAGTTTTTCAGATTCTTTTCCTAGGTGTGTTGTTCTTGGAATTCCATCCTTAATCTGGGGAAGTTAATAAAGGGAGGCTTTACTACCTATAGGCATATACTTTTTCCCACCATTTATTTAGTACTTAAACAAAGACTATTTATTTAATGTTTTGTTCGCTATTTGTTTTGCCCATTTGTCCGTTCCTTGTAATCTGTACACTGGAATCAAGGGGAGGTAATATTCTGGGGATATCTCTCTTGATTTGCTGAAGGCTTAACTCAAATCCAGATGACAATATCACAGGTGCATAATAAATACTTCTCATAACGATAATGGAAGTAACAAAGACAAATTGCAATAGCAGTAATTGGGCACTCCAGTTATCTACCCACTTTATCCAAGCACATATCTATCTAGAAACAGTATAAAAGGCTATTTGCAGGCCTCTGGCTTCAGTATTAAAAACAAATGAAGCAAAATGTAATCAGAGCAATTGAGTAACTTGCTGAGCACGGTGGGTGAAAAGGTGCCTATTCCCTATGTGAGCTGAACAATTATCCTTCCCAGATGAGCTGAGGGTGAGAGCAATAGGTGCTTAGCTGTTGGCAACTGTTTAGAGGATAGCATTAGGGGAAGTTACACAGGATCCCTGGATCATGCATGGAAAGGCAATCACTGAAGTACAAACAAAACAATAGCGAGAAAAGGAGAGGAAAAT